AAGAAACGACGCTTCTTTGCAGTTTAAGAAACACTAAAGGAAATTAGACACGGCCATCAGGGCCGCGGTAGCATAATGGTCAATGCATTCTCCTGGATAGCGAAGGGTGCGGGGTGGAATCCTGTCTGCTGCCTGATCCGCGTAGAATTTGTTCTAGTAAACTGTTATTTAGATTTTAATCTACAGTTCCCGTGGTAACGACATAACTTGACTACGAATGCAGGTTTATATATTTTTTTACTTTTATAATCTCTTATCTATTAGACGAGTCCGCCTGTCCGTGGTGCTGTTTCAGCGGCCAAACTGTAAGAGATAGATAAAGAGAATGTTTAAGTTATAAGTTAAGAATAGTCTGATAAGACTACAAACCGGATTTGAGTAACGTAGCACTTCCGGTTTTCGAGAAATCACGAATTTCAAACGAAACCACACAAAATCTCCGAAGTTCTCAATTAATTAAATACATTTTTTTTTAATCAGGTTTTGGTGAACATTTGGTTCACTGGTTTGCTAGTAAAGTATTAATCTGTCGGGGGGACTCACTGGACGCGGAATGTACAGGAACGTTGTGTATGAAAATCCCTTAAGGAGCCTATGTCCAGCGGTGAACCTCAATCGGGTGATGATAATGTTCTAGGTACGTTATTAAGGAACAAATAAAAAAAGTTGAGTTTTAAAATTATAAGAAAACATATCGCTATATAACCGATAGATGGCGCTGCAGTCGGGATTTTAGGAGATTTTTTATGGTATTTTTTTTCGTTTTTATTACTTAAAGTTCAATAAACATCATGACACGACGTGTCGCGTCGTATATACAGATCAACTCATCCAGATGCTGATTATTTTAGTTGGGTTGTTCTTAAGTTCTTTACGCTGAAGTAAAAAAGAACAGTAAATATTTAAGTAGCATATTTTGCATGATATTGTAAATAAAATTTGGCATTTGCAATTCCCATGTTGGCGAATGAATTCGCAAATGAAATGTAGCATTTTCCTCGTCCCTACATCGCGGCTAATGTATTTACGTCAGGATGCGAGCAGAAGCAATACTTCAGAACGTTCAATAATTCAGCCGTTTGCTCCAATTCTTTGTACAAATTCATCCCAAAAAAACTACATATTGATATTATATTCATCATATCGAACTTCTGTACCCTTAGTACGAGTTTTACAATTACGAAAACTATGATAGTTTTCGTGAGCTCGCACTCGTACTATAAGGGTACTCATTTTATTGTTTTCGTTTCAATACAAATAAACTGTGTACCTATAAATTCTACCATTAAATCATTTGCGTCTTCTTAAATTTTAAGAATATTTGGTTACTTTTCACCAGAATGGACATAGAAAACATAATTTACAATTACGAAAACTATGATAGTTTTCGTGAGCTCAAACTCGTACTAAGGGTAGGGCTGCCATCCGTCCGGGTTTCTCCGGATTTGTAGTCCGGGTTTAAAAATTTCCTTTTTTGGGTCGCCAATTAATCCGTCAATTTAAATGTCTTTGAAAATAAAATAAATCTATTCTAACACTGTAACTATAAATGGTGACTTCCAACAAAGATCAGCTTTGTCGCCCACACTGTACGCAATACCAGCATTCGTTGCTTTGTCGATGACAGCACTGAAACTTTTTACACTAGTCGGTCAAACATGGAAGAGGAAGGGTGTAAAGACAGACGAACTTTCCTCAGTATTTTTTCTCATAGCTATGATATTGTAATCTTAAAAAGGCGGATGAACCTTTTCGTTCAGTCGAGTGGCCCTTGGTGCTGCAAGTGTTCATGGCCAGCAGTGAACACTTATTATGAGGTAGAACGCTAGCTCTTTTGCCTACATCAACATAAAAAAAGTTGATTTGTGACATTTTTAACTGTTCTTTTATTGGTCTGTCCGAGATCTGGACTCCAAAATCCGGGGTTTTGTTGCGTCTTATCCTAGTTGCCACATTTTAGAGATGGCAGCCCTAACTAAGGGTACTGAAGGCCTGCCACGCTTACAGTACGTACTTACTAGTGAGCATTCGAATCACAGAAAAAGACAACTTGCTAATCATAGAGCAAAATAATTTCGACATTTCGCAGGGGAATTTCAAAGTTCAAAGATATTATTATTATTATTTATTATTTATTTATTGCACTCATGTGGTTATTACAGATGTTACATAAAGATTAGATACAGACACATGAACCCTGAAAGGGTATAGCAATTTAATTTAAAATGTCCTTAATTAAATAATATTAATAATCTACTTCAATTAAATTTAATTAAAATTAACTTGAACATAATTAACTAATAATTAGTACTACTACTATTAATATAGCTATTAAGGAGATTGTTACCAAGTACCTTGTTTTTTTAAAATCCCGTTAAAAGCTTATAATATTAGTGACCATGAAAGTTCAAAGATATTAATTTTTCTATAGTTTATCTAATGGGAATGTGAAATCGAAGTTGATAAAAATGAATAAAATATATGTGGGTATCTTCGCTGTAAGTACTTCATATAATGAATATCTCAAACTAATGCTTTGTTCCGTAACTTTGAGAAATATTTATTTATTTACCTAACAGCATTTTAATGAACTTTCTTGTTTTTTTTTTCTTTTAAATATAGTTTTATTATTTCGGGGGCTAATAAAATAAAAAATGTGGCCTGGGGCTACATCTTTTGTTTTTTATTTTATTCTTAACTATTTTTGTAATTATTCCATTGCAAGTAATTAGTTCTATTTGTACGCCGAGGTTTGTAATACAAGTATTTCAAGACGAGATATAAACATTTATGTCTTTAAATAATTTGTCCTGCATCCTTTTAAACAGACGTACTTATGAGGTTTTTTTTCACAAAATGTCTGAAATATTCGTTTTTCATATGGAATACTCTATAAAGCAGCGGAAACTGTCAAACGTGACCTACATGTCGTGCAGCCAGCGCTCGACTGACTGCCTCTGCGCCGGAAGCCCCCCCTCCCTCCACGTCCTCTCTTCCGAACCGGAACTTGCGTCACAGTCTGTGGCAGCCGGATCGGCCTAGTTCCCGATAACTTTAAACTTAGATAGGTTTATCAACACCTCTTCTGAGTTAATAGTATTTTGATTTCAATTAAAATCTTACTTGCTGCATTTAAAAATACATAAAATTGTGAAAGCTCTTGATTTCAACTAATTGTATATACGTTTTGCACAGCTGATAAAAAGAGGATGTTTAGTGAAAATCAAATTTGTATTTAATAAAATTCATGTATTTTTTGTTGCTTCCCATATGTTGACTGAAAAACACCGTGAGAATTCAACAGTTACAGACCAATTCAATTTACCTATCGTAGCCAAAGTCCTTCCCAATTCGACGGTGTTCTGAAAATACGTTTGTGCTTTAATATAAGTTTCACACATCGCAGTAAACTAAAAGTTAATCTAAGTCACGGAACTTCTTCGAAAGAAAAACTTGATCTCATCTACCTTGGAAAGATTTACACGGCAGTTCTGAATTTATTTAGGTACTTTGTCAAAGAAAGTTTGACCACTTTTTCTCCACTTGATAAAAATAGTAATTTGATTTTTATGCTTTCCTGCGTTTTTCTTTATCATTCTTAAAGTTTTGTATTGTATTCATCTAAATAATTTAAGGATATTTATGAGTTTATTAATGAGATTCTAGTAATAATGGAAAACACAGGGAGATATTAAATTTTATTTTTTAATTCTTGTATTCATCATATCATATACAGGGCGTCCCACGGCAACCTCACACGGAGGGAAAGTATATTAAATATTGAAGATAGGATATTTTACTGAAAGAAGACATCATTTTATTTTTAATAATGACTAGAACTGCATTCACAGATTTTTTTAAAATCGCCTGTTGCAAATGGAAATCAAACTCGTGAAATTTCGAAAAAAAACACATCATATTTTATGATAACCATCGAAAGGGTTTATTATATGGATTATTTTTTGCTAAATAACATAGCATTTAATAATTAATTCTTAATTCTTTGTCATTTATCATAATATTTTTGGGCTATTTTTTGTATTTTAATATTAGGTTCTACTAATAATGGAAATCTTTGTTCTTCCATCTACAATGTGAAAGCGATTTGTCATGACGTGTTTTCCTGCTGTCAATCTTATCTGAAACTCCGGACCCGAACAATGGCCAGGGTTAGTGTATATTCAATGCCACTGACATCCCCTACTTCTATATACACATATATAAAACTCAAAGGCGACTGAGTGTCATAGCGATCTATCAACGCACAGCCCAAACCACTGGACGGATCGGGCTGAAACTTGGCATGCAGGTAGATGTTATGACGTTGGCATCCGCTAAGAAAGGATATTGATCAATTCTACCCCGAAGCGAAGCGAGGGCGGGCCACTAATTAACTATAAATGAATGTTCTAGTTCATATTCTTCAGTTTATAAATTTATGGTTGGTTTATCTATATTGTTGCGTCTAGTAACCATGTCAATTTTTTTTTGCTACATGACTGCCTAGTTTAACATTTTCAAGATTCATATATGTTGTATGTTTCTTTATTCCACCATAACTACAAAACTAAAAAAACACGACTTGCGTTTTAAAAAAAGTGAAATATAGGTCTTATGTTTTGAGTAATATGGAATGTTAGTTTAATTTTTAATGCAGCCGGGGAAATGTTTTTTACAGCACACTATTATTAGCTTTCCTTTTTTTTCTTCCTGTTTTTGTATCTTCATTATTTATTAAGTCTAAAATGTTTTCTTACTTTTATTTCCTGATCAGGAAATCAGATTCGGAATTCCGTGAACCTAGTGCAGACGTTTTTTTAAGCGTTAAAGTCCGAACCTAGCATTAGGTTTTTTTTCCTTTCTGAAAAAATGATAATAGTGTGCACCTCGTTGAACATTTTGCATGTAAGGGCATGCATTCAGTATTCCGAATCGGCATTCCTGATCAGCAAACCGAATTAGGAAACCGTACATGTCTTATACTGATGTCCTCTTTCCAGATCTGCAGTTCCCAATCGACGTGTCAGGCGTTCAGAACGACCACCCGTTCCTCGATGCCGACTCGCTTCAGTCGCTCTTCCGACGGCTGACGGCGCTCAACCGCTGCGCCAACATGAAGCTGGAACACCATCACCAGAAGAGATCGGTGAGTTACCTTCCATTTATAGCATACAAGCGTATGATTGCGATGTCGTCTGGAATGTTTAATTTTCACAAGAGAAAGTACCTTATAACCAGTCCAGCTCCAACTAGGTTTGCCAGATGGTCGAGAATCGTGGTGGATTCTGTTTGGGATATCAGCTGGGAAGTGTTCTTCAATTTAAATAAAATCTATCTCAAATCATGATTGTAGGTAGTGGAAAAAGAGAAGGTGCTACCGTATCAGCTAAAGCTATAACTAAATGCAATATCTAGTTAATAACAGATGGAATAGGTGATTCGCTAAGTCTTTAATTTGGAAAAATATTACAGAAAATTAACATCGATCTGAAAAACGGTATCGTAGTTGAAGATAACACAGGCATTCTCATCTCGTTCGGACATGTGGAAAGTATGTGAAACTAGAGAATAACAAAATAGATCTACGGCGTGGTATTGGAAGGATGTAGAAGCCGGGAAAGCAAAGCAGTGGGCATGTATGATAAGAGTAATGAAATTGAATGAAGCTAAAGATGTGTGTGCGGACTCTGCCTTATGGTGCTCTGTTCTCTCTGCCTATCTCACCATGAAACGGTGTGACATTGAGAACTGACCGGGTTTTTATTTTATTTTAGATGCTCTTCTATTTTTCTCTACTTTTAGTACATCAAGACTTGCATTTGCAGTGTGCAATCCTTCAAAATATCTTGTTTTAGGTCACATTAGCGACATAAATTTATCTAAAAGTGAATTATAAATTACATCTTAATCATACATTCAACTGTTAACAAAGCGATTTCCTTTTTATTTATTACTAGTAAAAAAGTAGCATATGTCCTTCCTCAGGGTTCCGTGGTTTTGATGTGACAGACAGATTAACTTTCGTATTTTAGTAGGGAAATATAATACTGTTAAAAATATCACAATAAGGAACCGCAGAATATTATTATTATCACTGTGCCCCGAGACCATCAGCGTGTAACTCCTTGTATGTTATTATGTTAATGTATTGGTAATATTGTTTAGATCGCTTTCACATGAGTCTTAAGTACATATAGAATGAAAATACTTCAGCGCAAAGCTTCCGGGTAGACTACGTTGAAATTTGACCCGTCCGGAACGTGAACATAAAAAATTCTAGGACTGCTAACCCGGGAAAGACCGACATAACTGACCATGTGAAAAACAACTGACACCGAGATCTACTCCAACAATACGAAAGGTCTGTCCTTGAGCCTTATTTATTGTCATTGCATAACACACCGATACTGGGAATTGCGTTCTTTTAAATTGGAATGGAAAATTATTTGGTATTATGGGAATTCTGGGAATAAAGATGGTTTCTCCTGCACCGCAACCTATTAAAATTTGAGCCTCGATTACATTTTGTTGCAACTGGGTTACTTTAAGCCGAGTTCCATTGCAAATTTGTGGTGGTCTTAAATTTCGGAGCAGAATAATCGGAATGCCAATTTTTAAACAAATTTCATGAGAAGGAAGTACGGGCATATTTAAAGAATTTAAAAATTCTATCGGGTAATTAGTGGCTTCTTGTTCATCGGCCATTCTATTTATTGAACTATAAACTTTGCTTTCCCCCTGGATATTCGACAGTATTTTATTATTAATCTCAGATGCCTGGTCATTGCGAGGAATTAAAATGGACCTTTCGCATAGCCAAGAATTGTTCTTATTTAATATATTTGTTACGTCACCGTAAACTGACGATGTAAGATGTTGTTGGGATTGCACTATACAACATAACTCAGGCGTCAGAATAAGTTTTCCTTGGTGTAGCAGTGGATAGGTATCTTTGGTGAAGGTATTTTCTTTAAGAGACTTTTATTGAGCGTTTGGTTATTTCATTGTTCGATTTTTAAGTTTTATTGTCTATGTATGAATTTATTATTTAATTTACTTAATAAAGTATTTTATTATTATTGGATTAACGGGGATCGCTAGAGGGCGTTATCAAGTAAACATTATCTGCGTACAAATATTTTATTTAATAATTGTTAAACCTAAAATAATGTATCTAAAGTGGTATTACAATCATTTTTAAAGTGCAAAAATTAAGTGACAGTGTTGGTGACAATAATATTTTAGTACAAACATAAATTTTGAATAATATCTATAGGAAAATATTTTGACAATCACTCTCCTCAATTGTTTTTTTTTGAAGTACTGGTGGATTGGACAAGTGTGGTGTCAAATAGTCGGCCATCCCGGGTCCCGTTTTGCTTCAATCTGGAATTTGTCTGGGCTTCGGGAATTTTATTTTGACGTGGAGGGTGAACAAAAATAAAAATAAACCGACTTAACCTGCCTTAGCGATAGAAAAGCTTTTACTATTACGAAGAATAGTGCCATCTGGCGGCGGAGAGGCGAAACAATATAACCAGCTTAAACAATTTATGTTGATAAGCATACTTTAAAGCACGCTGCGAAGTTCGAACCGTACGACATGAATAAGTGTGCCGGGTGCGGAAAGTTCCTGCCGACGACGACGGTAGGTGTCGCTACTTGTAACTCATGTCCTTTGAAATACCACAAAGCTTGCTTGGCCATGTCGGAAAAAGCTCAGATATCAAAGGACTGGGCTTGCCCAACCTGCAAGCTGGGTGCACGGAAGGGCGATAATAGCCAAACGCCAGTTAAAGGGATTTGTGAGACCCCGGCTGCCAAATCCACATCCCCTAGTACCATAAAGGAAGCAGAAGCTACGACGACCGGCAGCAAATCAGGAGTGGTAGCAGCCGCGCGCCCTTCATCAGATGGTGCCGAAATGCTCGAGTTCCGCAGGATGTTTGTCGAGTGTATGGCTGAGATGAGGGAGTTCCGGGGTGAGCTGACGTTGCTGCGAGAGACCTTCACCGCCACGACCGAACGGCTGGACGTCATGGATCAGCGATTGGACGGGATGGAGAAGAAGCTGCAGGAGTTTGAGAATCGAGAACCTAAGGGCGGGAGCGGGCGGGTAACAGAGCTGGAGCGCACCGTGGCGGCGTTGAGAATCGAACTCAACGAGAGAGACCAGGATGCTCTGCTGGCCGATATTGACATCGGTCAGGTTCCTGAGGAGACCGGTGAGAATGTCATGCACACGGTGCTGACACTGGCCACCCGCCTGGGTGTGACGCTGGAGGAGCGCGACGTGGTGTTCGCGGAGCGCGTGGGCGCGCCCCCCGAGGAGGGTAAGCGCGCGCGCCGCATCGTGGTGCGCCTGGCGCGCCGCCACACGCGCGACGACATTCTGCGCGCCGCGCGCATCCGCCGGGACTTCAAATCGTCGGAAGGAAGTCGCATCTTCGTCAACGAACGACTGACTCGCCAGAACCGCTTCCTCTTCAATAAAGTTCGCACGGAATGCCGCAACCTTAATTGGCGCTATTGCTGGACAAAGCAGGGCCGGATCTACGCTCGCCAGGGCCAGGGCAAACCCGCTTTCCGGCTGTACACAGAAGAAGACTTTACGCGTGTGTTTGGTGGTCAGTCATCGTGACTCAAACTAACCTGTAACTATTATTTACTTTTAATATTGCTCAAACTAGCCTATTTTTATCAAATTGTCATAATATCGTTCATATTAAGGAAAGGATATCCACACTCACTTCTTATAGTTATATTAAATACTCAATCTACTTTGTTTGTAATTATCTTACTTATTTTCACTCTTAAAAAATTATCAAAGATAAAGATACTTTGTTTTACTGAGGCTTTACTGTCATCTTATTTAAAAGTTTTTCAAGTGTTAAGGTTAAGGTTATCAAATAAAATCATATCAATCAGTGCATTAATAGAATATATTGCGCATATTATTTATCTACATAAACATAACAATATTCTATCTAATACCATCTATATACTACACATAACAATATTGTTATTAATGTACCAAAATATGTTCCTTTATATTTACAAATTTTACAATTATTCATATTCTAAAATCAAAAGTATAATTTTTACATTGTCCTGCAATTTTCAAAGTATGTTTGTGGCTATTGCATGTATATTAATCAGTGATTTTGACAAATGATTAAAAATAAGAATCTCAAGGTTGGAATTTTTAATGCTGGGTCGCTCGCTACGGGACATGAGGAGTTTATGGTGGCAATGGAGGAGTTGGACCCTGATATCATGGCAATAAATGAGACCTGGTTAAGAAAGGGTGAGGAAAACAAAGCACCTAAGTTGTCTAGCCATCGTCTGCGACACATCCCCCGCCCAGACCACATACGGGGTGGTCGTGGTGGTGGAGTGGGATTTTATGTGCGTAAGGGCATAAATGCTCGTACCTGCCCTCATCCTGTTGCATTGGTGGAACAAATGTGGATAAATGTTCACATTCATAACCAGAACATCATAATAGGGACTGCATACCGTCCACCATGGTTGGATGTTGAAGTGTTTTTTGACGCTATTACTGATGCCATCGCTTCTTTCACTAAGCGGGATGGGCTGGTGCTGCTGGGAGATTTTAATATCGACTTACTCGCTGGTGGCAGCAGTAACCCGCGGACATTAGTCCAATTCGTGGAAACCATGAACCTACAGCAGGTGGTATCGGAGCCTACACACTTCACTGACCACAGCAGCACATTGATCGACGTAATCTGCACTGACATCCGTACTATAAAAACCGTAGTGAAGCATTGCCCTGATCTCGGGCACCATGCCATGGTGTCAGCAGAGTTCAAAATAAAAAAAGAAAAATCACAACCACGTTGGGTACAGTACCGACCTCTAAAAGACATCCTTGGGGACCAGTGGGAAGGTGACCTTGAGGCCGTTGACTGGAGTTGTTTTGGAAACGCAAATAGTGTCAACACCTTAGTGGATAACTTCACGCTTTGCTTGATTGGCTTGTTCGATCTGCATGCTCCAATCAGGAGACAAAGGTTCAGGCATCCCCCTCATCCATGGATCACAGAAACTGTCAAATCAATGATGCATATCAGAGACAAATGTCTGCTAACTTATAAGGCTGCTAAAACCAATGCACACAGG